TTTTTTTTTTTTTTTTTTGTCAAACCTTGAAGGTCCTGGACAACATCCGGAGCGCTGTGCTCCGTTATGACATCTGCCACCCCGTGGTAAACGACAGCGAGGCGTCTCTCTGGCACGAACTGGAGGTCTCCTGCTGGCCCACACTGGTCCTGCTGGGACCTCGTGGCAACTTGCTCTTTGCCCTGGTKGGTGAAGGGCACCGGGACAGGCTGATGCTTTTCACCGACAGCGCACTTCGGTTTTACGGCGAACGGGGCGAGCTGAAGACCCACTCGGTGGGAATTAAGCTGTACAGGGACTCTTTGCCCCCCAGCATCCTTTCCTTTCCCGGGAAGGTGGTTGTTGATCAAAGCAACCAAAGGCTGGTGATCGCAGATACAGGGCATCACAGAATCCTGGTGGTGTCTTCTAATGGACAACTACTACATGTCATAGGAGGTATGAAGTGTTTGAAATGTCCGAAAGAAGTGAATTTGTGCCGTGATGATAGTTTAAGATTAATTTTACRCCTCATGGTTGTGTTGGCCTCAGAMCAGCAGGAAAGTTGGCAACAGCGGTGGTAGACATGCTGCTAATTGGCACTGGCCCAAGTGTGGACAAATGAAAGCAAAAAAAAGGAGCGATTTTATTTTAGGCTTGTTGACCTCATCTTCATCAGACATGCCCAACTGCAAAACTGTTCAGTGCTGTCGTCGTTCAGGTTCAACAAAAATCAGTGGTGGAGAAAGTACTCAAACGCTGTATTTAAGTAAAAGTGCAGATAAACAGTCAAAAATGTACTCTAGTAAAAGTAAAAGTACCATATTAAAATTTTACTTGAGTAAAAGTAAGCAAGTACTTGCTTTTAAAAATACTTAAAGTATTAAAAGTAAAAAAACTTGCTTAATTTATTCCCTAATGGTCTAAAATATGAAGTGTGCCTACTGTATGTATCTTTTTACTACATCAGAAAATGCATGTTTTAGTGTTTAACCTCTGACACTGTTCACACATGGACTTGTGATTCTGTGATGATTGTGCATCATCACAGATCGTGACAACAGCTACAGAAGCTGTAAATTTACCACCAACATTCTTTATCAAAACTCAACACGTTGTTTTTGAACCAGTTAACTTGAATAAGGCCATGAGTGGCACATTTCCTCCATGGTGGAATCYGTTGTGCACGTGCTGCTGATGCTCCAGCAGGTGATGCAGAATTGCTCTGCCTTTTTCTTCAAGGAGGGTCTAAMGGTACTTTCCTGCTTTGCAGTGGTTCAATGGACCAACTACAGCAATTCCCCCTCTCGCCACAGATTACTTTCAAACTAAAAAAAAATCAATTGAATAAATCGTAATGCAACGTGACATGAATGTAATTTGTAATTCAACGCATCACAGAAAGTAGTGRAGTAGAAAGTACAGATACTTTATGTAAAATGTAGTGGAGTAAAAGTCAAAAGTACCCATGATGAAATCTACTTAAGTAAAGTACAGATACATGAAAAATGTTCTTAAGTACAGCAACAAAGTGCTTAGTTACATCCCACCACTGACAAACATAAAGCAACGTTTGCAGCTTTTTAGAGCCAGAAACTGGAAATTGTGTTAAAATACATAAAGACAAGTTTAAATTTTCATGTAAAGCCCTCACAYGTCATTAAGGTTGAAACAGCGACAAAGGATGATTTAAAAAAAACATGAGCAAGTTTTTTTATTGCCTTCCATCAAGTTATTTTGAAATCAAGTTGTTTCTTGAACAGTTGGACACATTTTATTTAAAACTCGCGCAAAGATAACGGCTTTAGCCACAGTGACGAATCCTTTCTGTCACAGGACCTGGAAGAGGCAAACAAGATGGCGACTTGTCTGAAGCGTCCTTTAACTCCCCTCAGAGCGTCGCCATCAAAGAGGACACGGTTTTTGTGGCCGACACAGAAAACCACCTGATCAGAAAGGTAATAATCTCCGACTTGGCTGTCATTTTCTGCTTTTATACTGTATCGTTGACCGTTTTCTTCATGTTCTTCGCGTTAGATTGACCTCTCTCAGGGACGAGTCAGCACTTTAGCTGGAGTCGGTGCTCAAGGGACGGATAAAGATGGTGGGGCGGTGGGACCTGAGCAGCCAATCAGCTCTCCCTGGGACGTGATTCTTGGCACTGCCTGTAAGTTTTGTGGCGTTCTTCTTCCTCCTCTGTGTGATCCCACATCTGCTTTGGTGCGCTTTTTTATATCCTCCCTGCGTCCCACTCTGCCATCAGTAACTCCTAACTGCGTCCATGCTCTCACATCGTCGAGACTTTGTCCAAGTTTGCTGCTTTGCAGGTCAAATCTCATGCAGMTCAAAAGGATAATGACGAGGCGTGTTAACAGACGGTGGTTACAGATTTATAAGCTGCCTATCATAATGGTGGGGAGGGAGTGTTTTACTCATTTATTGTACAAAAAAAACAGCCGTCAGATGGTCTCTTTATGCCAGGTTATGATCAACCATCTGTGTGCAGGTCAGAGAAGAGCGAGGAACTGTCTGCTTTCTTTTTCGACTCAACCATATGTGCAGCCTTTCATAACRACTGTTCAATGCAAACACTGTGGATGTCTCCATGCAGAGGTCGCCAGAAAATGTGTTGCATTATCTCAGTTTCTAAACAATATTCCATCTCCCACTCCCTCACAATCGCATTCAGGCTTTTTGTACTCTGTGCAAAAGTAAAAAAAAAAAAAAAACATCTAATAGGAGAGACCAGGCGGAGTTGAACATGTGGAGGAGACGCTGTGCGTACAGGGAGAGGGTAGATGGAGGTGCCAGGCAACAGGAGAAGAGGCCAGCCAAAAGCAGCACATTTATGGATGTGGTCATGGCGTGTGGTTGGCTCGAGATGCAGAGGAACTTGTTTAGAGCCGGGGAGTCTCACTGGACGGCGATGATGTAAGAGCTGATGTAATAATCACTTCCTTTACACGTTTCCCACTTCCTGCCACAATGTTCAGGGTTTGCTCAGTTCAAATGAATTTTAAAACGGCCTCCGACACATTCAAGATTACATGAGTTGGCTAATCGTGTGAATGCTGACTCAGCATTCAAAATGTTTTCTTGTTTTGGTTTGGTTTTTGGACATTTTCTGCGATCGAACCACTGATTTGTTATTTTACTCATATTTCCAAAAGTTAAGCACATTTAGGAGACGGGTGCTGTGACGTTTGGTTTTTGAAACTTTTATACTTGATAAAATATTTAGCTTTCTTTATTGATATTTTACCCATATAAATACATTGAGATCTTAGTTTTTTTCTAAAATATTCTCTTTGAAATTTGCTTGTGGAAACATTTTTTAAAGCTTCCTTATACTATTTTTTTAGTTTTTAGATATCTCTAATCCACTTTTACCTTCTTGCTAGCCTTTTGTTACTTTAGCCAATAGCTAACTTAACCTCTTTTAGTTAATTTTGTTAATCTAGTAAATCAGTGTTCTGCTTCCTTTAGCTTTAGCAACTTTTAGCTACAAAACTAACAAGTGGACCAAACTGTTCACTTGTCAGTTTTGTCAGAATTAAACTGAATTAAACACTATTTCTAGAAACTTCAGAGCTATCTACAGCAAGTAAAATGTTAATTGTTCATGACCTTTCTACAAAACTAAACTTTAAAATATTTGAACCGTCAATGTAAATCTTTATTGGATTGGGCCAATCATTTCATTAAAAAACATTTATACTTTATGCAAAAGTGAGATTGAAATTTACAAGGCAAAATGAGTTATTGAAACAAAAGTTTTTTCTTATCATTATTCAAGAGTATATCGTATACTCTTTAATTTGCATTTTCTGTCCAGTGGTGAAAAAAAAAACTTTACACATTATAATGAAAGCAGGATATGTCTTCTTTAATGTGTCATCAGTATTCAGAGTTTCTTTAGTTAACCTCATACTGACATGATTTTTCACACTCCTTACTTTTTAATCTGGAACAAATGCTTTCTATGGTCAACTCTCAGCAAAATGTTTGTCAGCCTGAGTTTGTTCTCATTATTAGCATCTCAAACCAGCAGCTCTCTCAAGCACACTAATAACTATGTTGTTGTGTATGCTGAACTGTTTGATGCCTCAGATAAGTCATTCATTCAAAAATGATCTCATTATTTAATCTGAGGACAAATTAGTTTAATGGCTGCAGTTAATTTTGGCGCCCTTTAGAGATGCCTTTGTTGGTGATTTGTCACGAGGTTGTGTGCATTAAAGAATTTACCAAATAATGGTAATGGTGAGACACTTAAGCGGTGCCATATTTCTTTCTCTAMGTTGCAGAGTTGATGTTTTGCGCTGCGTTAAAACTCAAGCTGAGCACCCGTGGGATTGTTAATCCATCAGGATGACAGTTTTTGCTCTGCTGGTGGAGTGTGRCCTTGTGCCAGACAAGATGTTGTCGTTTCTGGTTCATTTTTGACGCTCGGCCTTCGGTAAAATAATCCATTAATCAACGCTAACTTCTCAAAATCACCTCAAAGAAGCGCTTCCCCTAAAAAACTAATATTAATTTAACGTGTTTTGAATGACAGGTAAAAAGCAATGTCTAGATTCCAAACTTTGAATGTTTTTGTGTTTTCTCTTGTGTGTAGGTGGCACTGAAGACAACGTGCTGTGGATAGCCATGGCAGGAACTCACCAGATCTGGGCTTTGTTCCTGGCAGATGGAAAACTGCCCAAAGGAAGGTGAGAAACCTGCACATAATCGCAAGGCTCCTTGGCATCAGCAGCAATAACTATTTTTTAAAGCATAAAAGAACATATGTGATATACGTATGTACGGGGAAATCTGGTGACAAAATGTCGAATAATGGTTTTAAACTGAACACRTAARCAGAAGAWATAAATTCAGAAMTAAAAGAGCACAATCTGCGTTGCTGTGGATGCCCCTCAGTGTGTATAATAGAGCTCTGCTGTACAACCTCTCACAGCGAGTCCAAAGCGGGGACGTGTGTGCGATGGGCGGGCAGCGGCAGCGAGGAGAACCGAAACAACGCCTACCCTCACAAGGCGGGCTTCGCGCAGCCCTCGGGCCTGGCTGCGGCCCCCGAGGAGCCCTGGGGCTGCCTGTTCGTGGCCGACAGCGAGAGCAGCACCATCCGCACGCTGGCGCTGAAGGACGGCGCCGTCAAGCCTCTGGTTGGAGGAGAGAGAGACCCGCTGGTGGGGTTCAAAGCTGACGGCAGATTGTTGCCATTTTTTACTCTGTTTCTAATACGTTTAAACAAACCATGCGAAGCAGCAAAAACATGAAGTATCCTAAGTCATTTTCTACTCTTGAGGTGATTTAGAGTTCAGTTTTGTTTATTTTAGCCTTTTCATAAAAACACGCTTACAATCTAACAACAAAATGAACAAATCTTTGAATATCCCTTCAGCAACTGCACAGGTTCAGGGTTGGTTTTCTATAAATAGAAAGCATGGACTCAAATAAACCCTTTTTTGTTTGTTCTATTTCCTTAAGGCAGTTAAATACAAATATCTAAGAAACTTAACATAAGGAGTTGTTTAACTACAGAGTCGCATACAGTTTATTCATTTGAGAGGACAAAAGGTCTGTGAAGTCCACTAATAAACTGTGTATTAGTTTTAAGCCTTCAAGCTGATCATCAACTGGTGGCCTGCAGGTCTTGTTCATTTCATCAAGRATGGGCAGCTCTGATCCTTGAGGGCCACTATCCGACATGTTTTCATTATTTCTGTGACTGAATTACCTCTTCAAGGYCTGRAGAAGTCTGTTGATCACCCATTTATTCAAATCAGGTGTGTTTGAGCAGAGACAGCACTAGAACATGCAGGCTGGTGGCCCTCGAGGACCGRAGTTGTCCGTCCCTGCAYGAGCTCCTTCCATCCAAACCAGGAAGTCGTATCTTCATTTGATCTTCTGTTTTCTTTAAACCAGAACCTGTTTGCTTTCGGGGATGTTGATGGGAAAGGAGTGGATGCCAAGCTGCAGCATCCTCTCGGYGTCGCCTGGGCTCCTGAGCAAAAGCTGCTTTATGTGGCTGATTCCTACAACCATAAGGTGAAAATGATGGAAATCTTCGTTTTTTTTTTTTTTTAATTTAGTACCGCGCAAGTTGCATAAATAATCTTTTAGAAAACGACCCGTATTTTGTGCTCAGATCAAGGTGGTGGATCCAAAAACAAAACAGTGTACTACATTAGCGGGGACAGGAGAGGCCGGAGACACTCTGGGACCCGACTTTAACAAATCTCGCTTCAACGAACCTGGAGGAGTCTGTGTCGGCGACGGCGGGAAGCTTCTGTATGTGGCCGACACAAACAACCACCAAATCAAAGTTCTGGACCTGGAGTCCAAGACCGTCTCTCTGGTCAGATTTATGTGTGTGTTTGTGAAACGTTTACATAAATTTCCCCCATGTTTRTGTAATTAATCTTCTACTAAAAGCACCCACTCTGACTGCGTTTGAATAAAATGTGACTTTGCAATGACATTAGGACATTTCTGCTTCTAATCCAAACATCTAAATCTCCCTCCTAACAGTTCCCCGTCCTCGCCGACCGCACAGACGCGGCACCTTCAAAGCCTCTGCGTGCGGCCAGGGCCCCGACTCTCCCGAAGTCGGCTGCCAGGAAGAGCACGCCGGCGGTGAACGTGTCCGCGGGGCAGACCGTCTGCGTGTCGCTCGCCCTTTCGCTTCCGGGAGGAGCCAAGCTCACCAGGGAAGCGCCGAGCTGCTGGGAACTGTCAGCAGAAGGTGAGACGATGCTCACTCACATCCCAAATGGAAACATTTGATTCCCTTCGTTCTTTGAAGCACAGTTCAAGATGGCCGTCACAGTTTAATTCAGGGGTTTTAACTTTTTTGACATCGGGGCCCAATTTGTTGAACTTAAAGTGACACGAGGCCCAGTTACACATTACCAATGTATGGATCAAAATGATGATTATTCTAAATCTTGGTTCAGTTTTTAATGTATTTACATCATAACTAAACTACCATAACTAACAT